ATATATATATATATATATATATCGCTTGATGCAAAAACCCTTCATATTCACTTTAGGAATATGAAGGGTTTTTGCTTCAAGAGAGGAATTAATCTAAGAAGGGACCACTATGACAGGTCCGGAAACAAATGAATGTATGGACGTAATGGACGATACCATTGCAAGAGACAGTGATGAAGCCTTTTACAAATGGGATAATTGTAGTTAAGAACTGACGAAATGAGTTCATGAACGTAAATTACAGTTACGTTGGCAACAATGGCCAAGCATTAACTGTCAAAGCGATCCCTTTTTACAGTAATATCTCTATATTTTTACCGACCCTCGTCAACAATTCCTTTCCGCCGCGAGGCAAACATATGTGTACACTATGTAATCTAAAGTATCCGGACACGTCTAAAATGGTGTTATGGCGTGGTCGTGTTTTTCATGGAGGGAGCAGAGCGTTGTTTTGTGTGGCACTATCACGGTACAGGACTACATTGATGTTATAAACACCATCTTGCTTCCCACCGCTGAAGAGCAATTCGGGGAAACACAGAGTCCTGACTTAAATCCTATCGAATATCTTTTGGGATGTTTTGGAACGCCGATTTCGTGCCGACCAACATTGATACCTCTCCTCAGTGCAGCACCCTGTGAAGAATGGGCTGCCGTTCCCCAAAATACCTTCCAGCACCTGATTAAAAGTATTCCTGGGAGAGTGGAAGCTGTCATCAAGGCTACGGGTGGGCCAACACCCTGTTGAATTCCAACATTACCGATGTGGGGCGCCACGAACCGGTAAGTCATTTTCAGCCACGCGTCGAGATACTTTCGATCACGTAGTGTACTTCCTCCCGCCCCTCTGTCTCGCCGGGTATCTCACCGCCGAGCGCCGTGGCCCGCGCTTTCCAATCCGGCCTTCCGGAATGCGCTAGTGGCGGCGGCGGAGCGCGTGGCGCCACCCGCCCCGCGCCAATGGGCGGGCCAACAGCCGGGCGGCTCGAGCGCGCGCCAACGGAGAATCCGGAAGATGACCCGGGGGAGGGGGAGCTTGGGCCGTTAGGCGCTTGGGCTTCCGAATGTCTGGGCTCGTGTTCCTGGAAGCCGGATGTCTTCTGCGGGGAATACCGAAGGTGACAGCGTGTACGAAGGTCCGCCAGTCTGCCGTGTCAGCAGGCTCGGGTTTGTAAATAGGTACGAAGGGATGCAGACAGGGGTGCCAAACACCAGGAATGCGCGATTTTTTTCGGGACGAAGGTTAGTTGTTGGAATAAGGTTGAAGTACCAAGGACACGCCCTTAATAAGGACTGGAAAGCAATCTGTTTCTTCTTTGAGTTTTAAAGGGGTTCGGCTCCGATTGATCCGTAACCTTAGGAGCGGACTAAGCATCGATAACCTCCTTATGCCTGTTATGTCACGATAGACAAGTAATAGATTGTGTCTATTCTAGGTATGCTTCTTAATGCCGGTATAACTAAAAGCCCACAATTGGACGTTAGTAAATTAATCAATGTTATGATATATATTTCTTCACTTTTGTATCCCGAAGCGACGTAGGAAACTAAGTAGAAGGAACCTCAAACTTCATTTGACAATAACTGTGAATAAATGCATGATTTGAATGATGTGAAAATTCATGCATGTATGTTCCCCTTCATCTTCTACAATCTTCGTATGCTCTTAACCTAAGATGAATTCCTACGTGCTCCACGCACGCCAGCAGTCACTCTAGATCCTCCGGCCATTTGAAATTTAATTCACCTGCCACAGCATACTGCATACTACACGTTTAGGCTCTTAGTCCTCAAACCATTTTTAAAAGAAGGACATCTCAACTACGTCGTTGCGCCGTACGTTGGCTATGTTCCAAATGATATTCCCAAAATATTTTTTGAAAGGAATTTGTGATGAAGACTCTTCAATTTATGTGGTCTTAATTTACCCATATAGTATAAATTTCGTCTTCTTTTTATCGAGATCTCCGCAACACAACAGAAAATATATGATGATTGGAAACTCTTATTAAAATGTTTCCACAAAATGGTTATTCTCTATTTTTTCTCAATAAGGAACCAGAAAAAATGGTTTTCTCCTCCGAATTTAAGTAACCCAAACGGAATGTGTCGGGTGCACAGTCTCTGCGCCTTAGTTTACGACACGTTCACCTCGACAGCAAAAAATAGTGAAACGGGACTTAAAAACATTCAGAAACATCAGGAAATGTAAAAAGTTTCACAGTTGCCTTTAAAATGTCTTCAGTTAAAGAAGCAAAACGAAATTATTATGACAAAAAAGATAACAGCATTTTAACAAGACATATGTGAGTACATACGAAATGAATTCAACTAATATTTTATAAAACTTCAACTTGCTGACCCTGATGTATCTTCTCCCACTACGTACCTGTGTTAAAATGATCTGCGCAGATGAGTGAAAAATACGCATAGGAAACTGTTGTTCCTTAGTAAAATATAAATTAAATATTCAGTCATAAATGTTACCCTCCCATGTAAAAATGAAACACCTAGTAGTAAAAAATGCAAAATATACCTTTTTGCCTATATGTGTTTGTATTGCAGCCACAAAGCTAATTTATTTTTTCTGCTTCGGCAAGCAGATGCTAGGATTTTCGCCCTCACATCTTCAATACATAACCCTCAGCAAAAAAAAAAAACGAGAGGAAAAACGTATGAAAGAGAAGTGCAGCAAATCCTGTATTCGCCACAGCGCGCCGAATAACCAACTTCCATTACACGGGCGGCGTGCTCGGACGCCGTGCAAGAAACGATCGTGACACGGGGCCTTTGTGGCGGCGCGACGGAACGCCCTCGGACGGAGATGCGCCAGGATCCGCCCATCGCGCCAACCCTCCGCCGGCTGGCGGCAGGGGGCGTTGCCCCGCAGCGAGCTCGTGCCCGCGCCCCGCGCCCCGCGCCACGCTTCCTCTCCTTCCGACGCGCCTCTTTTTTACTCCCCCTC